AGTAATCCAACTTATGTAGCTGCAATAATTCTGGGTACTAGAACTCCTGGGACATGCCTGGAATACAGTAGGTGCCCAATATATGCAGCATTTCTGTGACAGGATCCACACATGGGAACTGGGGTACACAGCAGATGTCCCAAGGGTGGGCTTAGCATTTCTCTCTCAATCAGATAATAAAATGCTTTGTTTCCTCTTGGCATGAAGCCAAACCTAATATTAATTTCTTTCTTGAACCATCACTCCTCTGAAAGAGATAAAAGCAAGTGGGGCTATTACAGCTGCTGCAAGCCTCTGGATTCCAGTAATTACTGAGCAGAAGGGAGGGAGCAAGATGAAGCAGCAGTGGGCCCAGCCAGGGAAGGAGGGGGGAGAAGGAGGGGTGAGGGGAAAAGGGAGGAAGGAAGGGGAAGCTGAGAGAGAGGCAAGCAGAATCAGCATTCAGGCCAAGCCATCGCTGGGCCTCCTCCGACCCACAACTCATGTGCTGGGACAATGGCACCCCTGACTCTACAGCCCTGGCTTCCAGGCCTCTGCCTACTTCCACCCACACCAGGCCCTCTGAAGCCATGGGACAGAGGGAGATTGTCCCTCAGGGTGCCCCTCTTTCACAGCTGGCTGCTGGTTCAGTGCCAGGCTGCCCATCTCTAGGCCACCAGCAGGCCCTGCTCCAGGGTGGAGCCCCAGTGCCCCAGTGGCCGAGACCAAGTCCCCATATCTCAGACTGAGAGTCCCACCCATTTATCATACAAATAAACTAATTTGAACTGGCCTCTGAGACCTTGTGCAATGTGACCCCTGTCACCCCTCCACCCGGATCCATTCCTTTCTTGGCCTCTCTGCTGCTAACACCAAGGACTCCTTCCAGCCCTGGGGTCTTCGTACTGCTTTAAATACTGTGTCCCAGAGTGTCACATTTCCAACTAATAATTCAAACTGAATTTTGTTATTGCTGTGGCCAAATAAAACAAGCCCAAGGGCTGCTTCTGACCCATTTGCCACATCTGATCTAGGACTTCTGACTCCTCACTCTGTTCTAGCAAAGTGTCTCCGGTTGAGGGACCCACAGAGCTCTTTATGCTTAGTTGTGTTTTTGTAAGTGACTTTAGGACTTGATCACAGAACCACACTAAAGAGGGATGGGCGATCACTGAGACACTCACCACCCTTCTGGTCTCTTTCATTAGCTCCATCCTCTCAGTGAGTCTTCTGTTTGCCTAATCATATTATCTTTCTCTCAACCAGTCCCTATGTTCATTACTCCAGTCCATCTCCCTCTCAGCCTCTGACAGGGATGAGCTGGACCTCTTCCTCTTGGGCTGAGGTAAAGACCCACAGTAAAGAGACTCACGTGTTTATAGCTAGTGTTCCCTGCTAGGACTGACAGGTGGATAGTTGGGCTTCTAAAATGCTGAGACTCTGAGGGACCAGAGTCTCATAGTGCCCAGCCTGCCATCACTGTGTTATCCCTGCTGGTATATTCCCACACGGTTGTAGCCGGAAGTGCTGGGTGCAAATCATCAGTCCACATGAAATGGTGAATATCCATGTAGTGCCTGAGATTTCCTGAGCCCCTGTCAGCCAGTGCAGGAGTTACCCTGCATGCCTCCATGCCTGGCCTTGATGTTCTCACCCTCCCCCCCCACACACACATTTATCCAGATAGGGGTCAGAGGGACAAGGCAGCTCACCCTGCATGAGCAGGTGCTGGAGAGTGCCAAGGTCAGACTCAGCAATAAGGTTGCTTTTGTACCAGGCAAGTCAGTCTCTGCATCCTGAATCCTTCCCCTGGCACCAGCGCCATCACACCAGCCTCCTTTGTTTATGTTCAGACTTAGATATGAAATCACAGCTCTTGGCTCTGCAGCTCTTTCTCAGATGCTGCAGGTGTTTGGATGAATCCAGATATACATTTCCAGAAAACAGAAATGGCAGCCTGGCTCCCTCAGGGCCTGCTCTTTCAAGGAGCTCTTCCTGGGACCCCTGGTTGAGGAGTTGTGGATTGCCTTTCCTGAGGACCCAAGGAGCCAAGGAGTCTTAGAGCCACATGTGACCATCCTTGCCCATCAGTGCTGCTGTCACAGAATGCCACAAGCCAGTGTTGGATAATGACAACAACCTGGAGCCTCGTGGTTCTGGAAGCTGAGAGTCTGTGGCAGTCTAGAGGCACCAGAAGGGCTTTCTTGTTGAACCTTCCTGAGACATGCCGGGGAGTGGCTGAGAAGGTGGAATTCACTTTTGTAACAACTATTTCAGCAACAATGCCATTGGTGGAAGCTGAGCTTCACAACCAACCTGACTACCTCTGAAGCCATATAGGGACACTGGCATCCCAGAGCAGAGTAGCTGGAATAAAGGAACCTATCAGCATGATATCCTCTTCCTCTTCAGCAGCTGGCTCTCTCTGCCACACTTAAGTACAGGGTGGGCTGCCCAAGATGCCTCAGAGTCCCAAGTCTCTCTTTCTTCCCGCCAAGATCCCAGGGAAGGAATCTGACTGGCTAGCTTAGGTCACATGGTCAGACCTTGCCTGAGGTGATTGGATCATTCTGAATAAATATGGCAGCTGGAGCCTACTGGGATAGACAGTGGGACAACTGAAGACACGAACTGTGGTCACAAAAGAAGTGAGCCCATTTGTCTGTCTTCCCTGTCATCTGCATATCTTGATGCTGTAGCAGGCCTCATCTTCCACCTCCTGCTCTCTCCATCCTGGAAAGTACAGGCTGCCTCTGCCTGAGGCCACAGTTCTCCCTGAGGTGGCCAGGCCCAGTCAGAATGGAGATAGACACTCAGAACAAGCCCATCACTGTGCAGGAGGCTCAAACTGAGCGGCCACCTTGAGGAGAAACAGGGGTGGTCGTGAAGTATTCCCATGAGGAGGACACAGTGGTGCCGGGTAACAGGCTGCATGCAAGGGGCTCAAGGCCATGCACTGCACACAGGGCATCTGGGGCAAGTCCTAGGCACAACGCCCATGCTACCTATGGCTTTTGCTCATCTCCTATGTGGGAGCCATGGAGAAGCACTTCCTTCCTGTGTTCCAGTTTGTTCTGTGGGTTCCATAAGTTTAGTTTGTATTATTTTATTAAACAGCTTCTATAGAATGTTCTAGAAAAAATGTCAATACACAAAGGAGAAAATAAATTCCAGGAATGTCTGATGACATGTTTAGGGACAGAACCTTAAACAGGACCACTTGGAGAGTTTTCCAACCTCCACCTTCCTCACACTTAAAATATAGGGCACTTCCCTGTGCTCCGCCATCACTTTTTCTTATATATAACATTTCTGCAAGTTTATATGGCGATGGAGAAAAATATCAGCTAGAATAAACTTTAATTTTGTATGTTAAAAAAAGAAAAGAAAATATCAGCCCAGTTCCTGACTCCCAGCAGGTCCTGAGCATTGTCCCACCCCTGGTTTCTCCCCCCCCCAAAAAAAATTATGGAACACCCTGCCCATTGCCACAGCTGTCCTAACACAGCCCACCCTGCATGTCTCTGCATCTGTGGGCCAGTTCTATGCTGCATGGGCTCACTGCAGTCACCCTGGCTGGGATGCTCTGCAGTCACGCACACAGCCTGTGTCTCAGCTGCTTCCCCTGCCTGTTGCCCCCTGCCAACAGCCGGGCACTTTTTGGTCTAGCCTGCCCACTCACCTCCCTGCCCATCTCCCCCTTCTGTTCTGCAGGCTCTGCGGAGGGAGCCTTTAGGAGAGGACCCACTGCAGAGACTGTCAGGTAAGATGAGCAACCGTGTGGAGCACTCTGCCAGCAAGAAGAGACAGGCCCCAGGGTATAGATGGGGAAACAGAAGTTCAGAGCAATCATGGAGATGGCTCAGTCAGTAAAGTACTTGAACTCAGAACCAACATGAGGCCCTGAGTTCAATCCCTAGCATAGTTGGAAAAGGCCAGGCATGGCCACATGGGCCTGTAACCCCAGAACTAGGAGGGTGGAGAGAAAAGGATTGCTGGAGCTTGTTGCCTGCTGGTGTAACTAAAAGAATTAGGATCTTTAGGTTCAAGGAGAGACCACATCTCAAGGAAATACGACTGGGCATGGCTAGGACTCCCAACAGCCTCCCTTGGCCTCTATGTGTGTTCCCAGATATGCTTGGGTTTCCCACACTCAGCCAGGTGTGGGGGTATACACTTGTAATCCCAGCACGGAGGAAGCAGAGACAGGAGGATCCCAAGGGCTTGCTGGCCAGTCAGCCTAGGTGTTCCAGGCCAGCAAGAGACACTGAGAATTAATGGATAGCTACTGAGGAATGTCACCCAAGGTTGACCTCTGCCCCACATATGCACACACATACATGCACATGTGTACATGTGTGTACTCACGCGTGTGCATGTGCGCGCGTGCGCGCATACACACACACACACACACACACACACACACACACACCAGAATCAGCTGGAGCACTAGTACTAGTACTCAGCTGGTAAAAGGCAGAGTGAACTCAGGACTGATCTGAGGGCAGTTTTATACCCATGCTACCTCTTTAACTAGAGTGTTAGAACATCTCGGGTGACGAAGGTCGGTAAAAGTCATGTAAGCCATGGCTGTTCCTCATTGAGGACAGGGCTGGTGTGTAAACACAAAAGATTATTTTTCTTTTCTGTTTGCTTTTCTAAGATTCACTGTACATCCCAGGCTCCCTTACCATGACCCTCCATCCTCAGCCTCCTAAGTATCCCACCAAATGTGGCTTCTTTTGCTTTTCCTCTCAACAGTCAAATGAGAGATGTGTGGCTGACCTAGCTTTAAAAGCTGGAGCAGAGCAGAGAGATTGAAGCACTTAGCTAAACTCACACAGTCCCAAAGTGGGTAATTAGAACTCAAAGCACCTTCAGGGTCCCCCTGCCCCTTATCTGTTACTTACTCTGTCTTCCTACAATGACCCCAGGTCGCAAAGCTGCTGTCCACGTGGACTGGAGCTGACATCACACGCCCACCCACCAGGACCCCCGCTGCCAAGTTTGTGCTCCGAGACATGGCTACTGACAACAGCAAGGTGGCCGATGGGCAGATCTCTACTGAGGTCAGCGAGGCCCCGGTAGCCAGCGACAAGCCCAAAACGTTGGTGGTCAAGGTGCAGAAGAAGGCCGGGGACCTCCCTGACAGGGACACATGGAAGGGCCGCTTCGACTTCCTCATGTCCTGTGTGGGCTATGCCATCGGCCTGGGCAATGTGTGGAGGTTCCCTTACCTCTGCGGGAAAAATGGTGGTGGTAGGTGGCCACCTGGTGACCTCGGGGCCAGGGCTTTGCATCTTCTGGGTCTACCTTAAGGGAAGGAAGGGTCTTTGGGAACAGGTCCTATTTGCTGCCTCTTGTCCTTTTATTAAGAATTCCCAGTGACAGTTGTCTGCGGCAGTGATGTCAGAAGCTTCTGTCTCTTGCAAGAGTTTGAATGAAGGATGCCTTTGGGCCTGGGCCTTAGTCCTGGGTGTCCCAAAGGGACACATGGGAATTTTGTGTAGGAGCCAAAGCTTCTGGGGAGACTCAGGGCCATGAGTGTGTCTCTCCTCCAGGGGCCTTCCTGATCCCATATTTCCTGACGCTCATCTTTGCGGGTGTTCCTCTCTTCCTTCTGGAGTGCTCTCTAGGCCAGTACACCTCCATTGGAGGCCTGGGCGTGTGGAAGCTGGCTCCTATGTTCAAGGGTGAGTGGGGGGGGGTGCTGGGCATGTGGAGGGACCTCACCCAAAGTCCTCAGGGACGAAGAAGCCTCGGATCCATATCTGAGCATACCTTGTATGTGTCTCACCCCAGGTGTGGGCCTCGCTGCGGCTGTGCTATCCTTCTGGCTGAACATCTATTACATTGTCATCATCTCCTGGGCCATCTATTACCTGTACAACTCCTTCACCACGGTGAGTTGCTGCTGGTCAGGGCCTACATGGGCTATGGGGATCCCCAGTGTGCTCCGTGGGTAAGTCCTTGAATGAGGTGTATAGCTTGTCTCCTATCGTATCGTCCCTGGCCAGCCATACTGAGAGCCTCAGTGTAGCACTCTGGCATCCCACAACTGAATTCAATAGCCCATTTTTTATGGACTTAGAATAGCATGGGTTTGAATGCTGACTCTACTGTCTACCAGCTGTGCAATTTCAGGAACGAACTTAACTTCTCTTAGACCTCACTGCTCTCATCTATAAACGTGATCCAGCAATTCTGTTTCTGAGTCCAAAGAACCAAAAGTAGGGTCTCAGAAACACTGGGATCTATGCCATATGTTCACAGCATCATGTTTGTAAGAACCAACATTCAGAAGTAACCCAGGGTCCCCAGGGAACACATGTGACCGAATTGCATGTGTGTGGTGGAATATTTCTCAGTCTTAACAAAGGAAGAAACTCTGATTCATGTACTATGGGCATGAAACTTGAAGACAATAAGGCCGTCACAGAGAACAGATGCTCTGCGCGATTCCACCAGCATGTGGCCCTTAAAGTGGTCCGATTCCAAGAGTTAGAAGGCATCTCGGGGAGCAGGAAGGATGGGGAGTTAGTGAGTAACGGAGACAGTGTCTCTGGAAAGTGATGCTGCTTCATACTGTGTGTGCTTCATGCTGCTGGGCTACACAAGGAACAGCAGTGAATTTTACATGGAGGAAGGAAACGAAAAGTGAAACTTGCCCCATAAGTCATGTATGAAGAGCCTAGAGCTAGGCTGGACATGGGACAGACCCCGTCTGCTGCCGTCACCCACATGAACACAATGTAATTTGGAAGCTGGTTCTTGGTGGTGGGGGAGGGTAAGAGTTCCGAAGGGTGTGGTGAGATCTTGTCTATCTGCCCCTGAGAGCCACTGGGAAGGAGAGGTGGGAAAATGGTGATGAGGGTGGGCAGGGTGAGTGGAGTCCCCCCAGCCAGCATAGTGGGATCTGTCTATGCTCTGCTCTTGTAGACCCTGCCATGGAAACAGTGTGACAACCCCTGGAACACTGACCGCTGCTTCTCCAACTATAGCCTAGTCAATACCACCAACATGACCAGCGCTGTGGTGGAGTTCTGGGAGTGAGTGGGGACTGGGCACAGGGCTGGGGAGGGTGTGCCAGCTGGGTGGCAGCAGGTAATGTGCTTCTCTTTCAGCCATTCATCCCCGAATGTTTCTTGAACACCATTGCAGGCCAGGGTAATTAGAGACCCGAGCATGTCAACAGGCATTGACAGCCTCAGATGACCCATACTGGCAGAGGATATACTGGGCAGGGGAGATGGCCTGAACCAGCCCACTTGCTATGACAGGTGGAAGGGGGGAGTCAGTGGGACAAGAGAAGGAGTGTCCGCATGCTCAGGGAGGGGAGCAGGTACAGAGGGTGCCAGGTGAGGGGCTGTGCCAGAAGCAAGGGCAAGCTATGGGGCTTGGGAGGTCTCTGTCATCTGTCCTCCAGATTCAGACAATAGGGTCATGTACACTACAAGGTCTCAGACAGGCGAGTGACCACATGGTCCTACCTGGGACTTAGGAGGATCACACTGTACAATCTTCAGAGTGAGTGTCATGGCTCCAAGGTCCCTGTCCAAATACAAGGTCATGGTGTCACCAGGACTCTGGGGAAGGTATAGTCTGTGTCGGAGCCCTGGTCACTCACCTCCCACTGGCCAGTGTGACCCTTTTCTTCTTCCTTTATCCCCAGGCGCAACATGCACCAGATGACGGATGGGCTGGACAAGCCAGGACAGATCCGCTGGCCACTAGCCATCACACTGGCCATTGCCTGGGTGCTTGTGTATTTCTGCATCTGGAAAGGAGTTGGTTGGACTGGAAAGGTAGGGAAGTGTGTGCATAATGGGGGCACACAGAAGAGGGGGACAGTTCTATAGGAGGAGGTGCGTCCTGGGCCAGGGCCCATGACTCCTACAAGCTCCATCTAACCTTATTTAAGGCCCTGTCAGGTCTCTGTGCCTGGATTCCATCTTGTGAAATGAGACAAGCCAGTGCCAGGGTTACACACACCACTAGCTTGATGAAGCCATCAGATGACAGGTATTGTTCCAGGGTCACTGAACCAGCTTCTCCTGGTAGAAGTTCTGTGCCACCCTGTGTCCAGTACAGGGACCCAGAGATGCTATCTTCTGTCCTGACCCATGGATGAGGGATGAATGGCTACAGGCACACATCCCCAAGTTCAGACCCCTGCATAGTAACTAGTTGGCTCTGTGACCAGGGGCATGTCACCCTGACTCCCCCAAACTCATTTCCCTCCTGTGCAATAACATATACCCAGTGATTCATTGGCACCTGTCAGGATCACCAGTATTATGGAGGGGACTTGTCATTTCCATCTTACACAAGTGCAAATGGGGACCAAGCTGGGACATCGGGCTGGAGCCATCTGGGCACTGACTCAGGGGGCAGCTGGCTTCAAGTCCTGTTGAGGAGTTTGGGGACAGAGTTATCTGACTTACTTCAGACTCTGGTCTGAAGGGAGCAGAGGTGGTGTACACCTGTGGTGCAGTCTAGTAGGCCCTGGGACAGACCAAGTCCTCACATCCTGTGCTGGAGTCAGAAGACCTCTCATCTGTCCCCAGGACTAGGGCAAGCAGAGGCAGGATCAGGCCCTTCCAGGTTAACTCCAGGACGCAGAATAGTGGGGGCTTTGTTCAGAGCTTCCGAGGAAAGTTAGAACCTTAGCACCCCAGGGAATAGCCATGTGTAATTGGACAAATTCCAAGACCCCTCTGAGCTTCAGTCCTCTCATCCGTTAGTGCCTGAGAGACAACCTTTGCAGAATGCTGGCCAATTTCCTCTACATGGAAACTCAGTGGTTAGTACCAATTATAACCATTGGTGGTGGTGGGTGACCAGAATTCTGGTTATTTATCAGGGACATAGAGTGGGGGCCTCCCCCACTGTATCATTTAGGGATGTTGACCCATCTGCCTGTCCTTCAACAAGTTTCTATTGAACACCTTCTGTGTGCTCAGCCTCCTGCTGATCATGGAGAGTAGGGAAATACAGACAGATGTATTGAGTATGGCCTGTGTCCTCATACAACCAGCCTCTTTGCTCATCAGGGTTGAAAATCATAACCATTTGTTAGACAAACAAAAACAAGGCTCAGCGAAGGTAAAAAAAAAAAAAAATGACCCAAAGTTACACAGCCTGCTGGTCCTACTGATGACTGAGTGCTCTTTTTAAAGTTGTTTTTTCATGGTTTTCAGCTGCTGAGGAATCTGAGAGTTCAATAAGAGGGATAAGGGTAGTGGGGATCACATCAGACTTGGGGGCAACCAAGATAAAAAAGAAGCTCAGTGCACAGGCCAATTTCTGACAGAAGAAAGTTTAGACAGCTCTGCTCAGCACAGAGGCCACTGTGCCCTGCCAGCTGCAGTTCCATCTCCAGAGGGTTCTTAAGCAATGTAAGTCACAGCTAGGAAAAGTTGATGGTATTAGATTCAGTAATTGCACGCTGGAAGTTTTCCCAAGCGTGAAATAACACTTTTTCAGATAAAAAAAAAAAATTGTATACAGACGGGTTCAGTGTTGCGTTTAGATCCCTGTATAGCTGGAAAGCCATAGGGGGAGCTGGCATTGCCCAAAGGACCTTCTGTAATTAAAGATCATTTTCTTCCTGAGACAGCGAGGCAGCGTTTAGGAGCTGAGCAGGAATGAACCTGGCCTGTGTGTTTTAGCTTCACATACATCAAAGAGGTGACTCAGTCATTTGAGCCCTTTTTACAAGGGCATGTGGTCAGCCACACAGAAAAAGTGAAGAACTGAAATGTCACGTGGTTGTCAGATAGCTACAGAGTCCACTGGATGTCACAGATGGCTTTAAGCATTGGGAGAGCAGAGATGCCAGCCATGTGTGGCCTGTCCTTCACATATCTACTAGGAGCTGTCTACGGGACCTTGTGTGCATGTCCACATGGACTTTCAACTTTTCCTGTTATCATATGTGTTACTTGGATAATGTAGAATTAAAAACAACAACAAAAAAAAAAAAAAAAAAAAAAAAAAAACAAACAGGTGGGGTCTGAGTATGGTGGTACACATCGCATCTCTAATCTCAGCACTCCAGAGAGGCAGAAGTAGGTGGCTGTTTGAATTCCAGGCCAGTCAGGACTACATAATGAGATCTTGTCTCAAACAAAAACAAACAAAAAACCCAAACAACAATTGGAGATCACTCCCATAACTCAAACACTCAGAAGGATGAGGCAGGAGGATCATTGTGAGTTTGAAACCAGCCCTGAGCTTCACAGAGAATTCCAAGCCTCTAACAGCGGGTGGGGGTAGGGAGGTATCTCCTCCCAGAAGGGTGTGTCTTCCTCCTTGCCTGACCACACAGACAGGCCCTAGTCTTATAGGCCAGGGAGAAGAGACAGAAGACAGAAATGGGGAAGCCGGCACTGAGGAGGGGCTTCAGAAAGGTGGGCATGCCTAGAAGGCTAGGAATCCCAGTCAGGGGGAGGTTCCCGGAGGAGGAACTGATCTGGTGCTTCAGAGAAGATGCAGCCCTGCCGTCCTTTGCTCCTAGGTGGTCTACTTCTCTGCCACGTATCCCTACATCATGCTCATCATCCTGTTCTTCCGTGGAGTGACGCTGCCTGGGGCCAGGGAGGGGATCCTCTTCTACATCACGCCCAATTTCCGCAAGCTGTCAGATTCTGAGGTGAGCGCCCCACCACGCACTGCCCTGCCCCACCAGGTCCACAGGGCACACTGGAGCCGCTAAGTACCTAACTATGTCAGGTGGAGCTGAGGACTCCTGCGCTGTCGAGCTGCGATGATGATTCTGTACTTAATTGGTTCTGAGATTCTGATTGTCTGCCCACAGGTGTGGCTCGATGCAGCTACCCAGATCTTCTTTTCCTACGGGCTGGGCCTGGGGTCCCTGATCGCTCTCGGAAGCTACAACTCTTTCCACAACAATGTGTACAGGTGCGAGGGGGCGGGTCCTGAGGCTTCCTTCCTGACTAAGCCCCTGATCAGGCCTTCCTGGGAGAGGCACATTGAGGCCACGCCCAAGGAATGCATGCCGATCTCTCTGCCTCCTTGCCTGTTGTCACACACTGGAGACCATGCTTTTCCTTTAAGACTACATTCCTTGTGGATCCCAAGCTCCAAGGCCACGCCTTCTGTAGTCACACCTACCCTGGCTATTTACATATTAGGTCCCTCTTTACCCTCTTAGGCGACCCCTTCTTGCTCTACTCTGCCTGTCTTGCTCTGAAATTTCCCTTCTAGGGCCACGAGACCCTGTAGTTCCTCTTCTAGAACCTTCCCTTCCCTTCCTTTGGAGGCTAGCCTATAGCCCCTCCCCCTTCTCACGCGCCCTCCTGCCCTTCAGGGACTCCATCATCGTCTGCTGCATCAACTCCTGCACCAGCATGTTCGCTGGCTTTGTCATCTTCTCCATCGTGGGCTTCATGGCTCACGTCACCAAGAGATCCATCGCTGATGTGGCAGCCTCAGGTTAGCACTTTAGCTGGGGAAGGCAGGGCTTGCCATGATGGTGTGTGTGTTGTCATGAGGATGTGTGTGCATCCAGCTGGGACATGGTCACCTCCATGACACAAAGTGCTTCAGGCCAGACTTTTGCCATAGCTCTAAAAACATTGTCACTGTGTAGGTTGTGCCCACTCTGCTCCCCTGGTCACCAGTGCCAAAGCCAGGAAGACCCTCAATGACTGACCCATTTTCTCTTTTGGCCAAGGCAAGTCATAGCAGAGGGACTGTGTCCCTAGAAGGGGCCCCTGGGGTTCAGAAAAGTGATGTGACTTGTCCCTTGGGGAATTGGGTTGGCCATGCTCTCTGCTGAGGTTCTTGCCTCACCCACAGGGGAACTCCCTCCTCCAAGCTCACTTTCCTGGAACTCTCCAGCTTGTCACCTCCCCCCCTCTGCCCCAGAGCCACACCCTGGAAGATCGCAGTATCCTCACAGGGGGTTCTTCTGAGCTCAGCCATCCCCTCTGGAGTCTTCAGCCCCACACTTCCCCAGCCCCAGCTCCAGACAGACATCCCCCATCTGCTCCACCCTGTAACTTCCCACCTCATGAAGGGGTCAGCTGCCCTAAGCCAAACAAAGCCTTAGCCTCCTCCCACCGCCCCCATCTTCCACAAGTGCATCAGTGTCTGCCCTCCACCTGCCTCCTTCGTGTATCTCCATCCATCCTGTCCACACCCACACTGTCCCTGCCACTGGAGGGTGGCCATAGCTCTGTACCACCTGTCAGTCTTCCCCCTCAGTGCTGGGTCTCACTGCTTCCTAAGGGATGACAATGCAAACACAAGGTTACCCAAAGGATGAACTGAAGTCAAAATGAGCAGTGTCTGGGGTCTACTGGGTGTGCTGGGTATGTGTGCCGTGTTGTCAGGTGTGGCGGGTGTACTGGCATGTCGGTGTGGTGCTGGGTGTGCTGGTGGCACTCAGTCTCTCCCTTTCCTCTGTTTTGCCCCCACCCCACCCCACAGGCCCTGGATTGGCATTTTTGGCATACCCTGAGGCTGTGACACAGCTGCCCATCTCTCCCCTCTGGGCTATCCTCTTTTTCTCCATGCTGCTGATGCTGGGCATTGACAGCCAGGTGAGTCCCCAACAGCACTGTGAGGACCCCCATCAGGGCCAGCCTGGCCTTGGTTAGTCCCCATAGTGCCTGGAAGGCCTGATCCCTCCTGTTTTTGAGTGGGTGAGTAGAGGCTGGCTGCAGTAAGTGGCTGACCCCATCCTTCCCCCAACAAGTTCTGTACCGTGGAGGGCTTCATCACTGCCCTGGTGGATGAGTACCCCAGGCTCCTCCGCAATCGCCGAGAACTCTTCATTGCTGCTGTGTGCATCGTGTCCTACCTGATTGGCCTCTCTAACATCACCCAGGTAGGCTGACCAGCATCTGATATGCCTCAGATGTTCCCCCAGGGCTTGGCACATCTTTTCATGCCAGGAAACATGTTTGCTCTCCAGTCCTTGGGCCTCCTTCCTCAGGGTTAGCCTACACCACCATCTTTCTCTGCACTGAGCACCATCGCCTATGCATACCACTGTGAGATCCATGGTGTCCCAGACTGATGGGAGAAGCAGAATTTGAACTAGAAAGTATAGGATAAATCTAGGGAATGTAGACCATCCTAGCCATAACCACCTGCTTCCTGGAGGAAGAGAAAGGGGTAACATAAGAATGGAGGTGGTGTGGGAATGGGGGTGGGGTGGGGATGGGGTGATGTAGGGATGGGGTGGTGTGGGGATGGGGAAACTGAGAAGGTAGAGAGGATGAGGTAACTGAGGGGGTGAGCAAATGGAAGGGATGGGGAGATGGAGGATGAGGGGGATTGGGGAATGAGCTTGCAAATGCTCACAGAAATGAGTCAGAGTCAAATGGGGGAGTGGGGCCTTTGACAGGGCCTTTGGCAAGTCCATACTGGTTATCTCAGAGAGAAATGCCGAGCACACCTGCTGTGGAATAGCATGACCCCCGGATTCAGCAGTTATCATGATGGGCACTGCCATGTTGGTTTTCCAGGGGGTTGTGTTTTATGAGTCAAAACTAACAGACATATTAGCTTCTTTCTGAGAGGAGCACCAGGAGAGAAATGGATAGTAGAATCAAGAGTGACCAGCAAGGGTAGGGGTCTCTACCTCACACAAGGTAACTAGGAGAGGCCTCTCTAAGCCAGTGACCATTGACCTGAGACTTAAGAGACAATGCAGGGCTAGTGCTGGGTTTGGGGGTGGGGAATCTTACAGAAGCAGGCAGAATAGGCACAATGGCCCTGTAGTGGGAATGCATCTGTACAGCCGGAGGAACAAGAGGAGGCCACTGTGGCAGAGGCAGAGAGTGGGAGGGTGGATGGGTTTGTCAAACCAGACTTTGCAGGCTTTGTGATTAGATTTTATTTAAAACAATTGTTCTACCTATTGTTTTGTGTGAGTCAGGTGAAGGTTTACGCAGGAAAGGAGAATCACTGATATATGTTGGTGATGGCTTGGCTGATTTTCCAGACCTACTGAAAGCCCCCTGGAAATGGGCATCGTCCCCCACCACCCAGACAGCGAGCAGCCACAGACTCCAGGAGTTGGCTTTACTCAAAGCCTTCCTGCTGCAGTGTGCCTAATCTCTGCCTCTTTGGGCTCTTGGGGCTAGGGGAGTGTATGTAGAGATGGAGTCATGTCTCCACTTTATCCCTTTGTCTCTTTCAGGGCGGCATTTATGTCTTCAAACTTTTTGATTATTACTCTGCCAGTGGCATGAGCCTGCTGTTCTTGGTTTTCTTTGAGTGTGTCTCCATTTCCTGGTTTTATGGTGAGAACCAGCCCCCTTCCTTCATTTATCCATCCATCCATCCATCCATCCATCCATCCATCCATCCATCCATCCAATCATTGTTCATCAATGATATCTTGACTACTAAACCTTTAATTCGCCCTTTAAACACTTCCACAAGCTAGTTTAACACACAGGCTAGCTACCCTGTTTAGAAAGTGTGACTGGGACAGTTTCATCCACTCATTTAAAGTGCAAGCCAGGGTTTATAGAGATGGCTCAGAGGTTAAGAGCACTTGCTGCTCTTGCAGAGAACCTGGGTTCAGTTCCCAGTGCCCCTCCCCATGGAGACTCACAATCTCCTGCACTAGAAACCCAAATCCTTATTCTGGCCTCTGTGAACACTGCATGAACATGGTGCAGAATACATGTAGACAAATACTTATGCCCATGAAATAAAAATAAATTTTAAAAAATAAAATGGAAGCCATCATGACTTCATAAATTTGAGGATAAAAAGATTGGTTTGAAATTTTATTAGGGGGCTAGCGAGATGGCTCAAAGTGCTTGCTACCAAGTCTGTCAACCTGAATTCAAGCCCCTGACCCACCTGTGGGGTGAGATAAGTAGCTCTCACAAGTTGTGCTCTGACTTCCACATGTACCTCCCCATGCACAGACAAGGAAATGTGAAAAAAAATTTATCTGAAAAACTTTACAATTTTTTAAGACCTGTGCTTAATGACTGCAAGACTATATATGGTTACAGGTGTGAACTGTTTTAGAACAAATCACAAAGGAAGAGTCTAATTTATTTGTGTCTTATGAGATCAAAGTTCCCCAAATGACTGCCTGGGAGTTCAAAGATCTAAGAATGTCCTTCCCAAATACCAGCGATCTCATCAGGTGTGCCTTTGGAAAGAACCTACTCTCCATCCTCCACCTACACCATCACCCTCCTCCCAGCACTGTCCCTTCCCCCTCCTGATGGGTCTCCTTGCTCTGTGGCTTCCCACAGTCAGCAGTGGCCTGCTCTGTTTTGAGGGCTTCAGATTTTCTTTTACACACAATCAGTTTCTTACAGTAAGACCGCCATGGGGAAATGTGCCCCCCACCCTTGACAAAGCCACTGAAGGCGTGGCTGGGACAGGTGTCTATGGGAGGGGCACCAGGCACTAGGCAGGCGTGCCTTTACATATTTACGTGTTCCGGTGCTATAGGAATTGAGCAAAACCAAAGCAATATCCCATATAAGAAACTAGGACACTAAGGTTCATAGAAGTGAGGGGACTTGCTCATGGCCACACATGGAAGAAGTGGTAGAACTGGGTCCTAGACCACGGTCCTGGAAGCTGTTCCCTGCCTTCTGCTTTTATGCCCATGTCACAGGTGTCAACCGGTTCTATGACAACATCCAGGAGATGGTTGGCTCCAGACCCTGCATCTGGTGGAAGCTGTGCTGGTCCTTTTTCACACCCATCATTGTGGCGGTAAGGATGGGGCTTGACCAGCGCCTGGCATGAGGCTATCCCACTGGAATAAGGCTAGCTTATTGGGATGAGGCTAACACTTGGGGTACAGACATCTCAGGTCCCTGAAGAAACTTTTGGAAGTAAACGCAGGATAAAGCTCTCCAGGGCTCCTGCTCTCTTCAAGTAACACTTCCCGCTTCTGTTTGTTGGACATCTGTGTCAAGCCCTGTTCAGGAACAATCACATGACCCTATCCTCACAGCCTCAGCCAATCAGACTGTTGTCCTGAGTCACCACAGAGAGAACCGAGCTCAACCAGCGCTGCCTAACTCAGGAGCCCAGGTTCCAGACACACAGAAGCTTCTCTTCCTCAGCAAGTCTCATCTCCTCCATGAGAGGTGCTGAGGTCCTGAGAACCCTGGCGGAGACACCTCGGGTCCTTGAGATGGGGACCAGGCTGTTGCCTACATTGTGCCCTGTATTAAATCATGGTGATTTATAGAGGGCATCCAGCCCACTATACTGGCTAGTCTGCAGGCAGGGGCTCCCTCCCCAGGCCTTTTCCAAAAAGGGAGTTCTGCTTTACTGCTGCCTTACCTGCACAGTGGCAGGATAGGGCCTTGCTTGGTCCAGCCCCTGGGACTGACTGTGCCCTTCTCCATCCATAGGGTGTGTTTCTCTTCAGCGCTGTGCAAATGACGCCCCTTACCATGGGAAGCTATGTTTTTCCCAAGTGGGGCCAGGGCGTGGGCTGGCTCATGGCCCTGTCCTCCATGGTGCTCATCCCCGGGTACATGGCTTACATGTTCCTTACCCTAAAGGGCTCTCTGAAGCAGGTAAGCTCTTCTGCAACTCGAGGGAACTCAGGGTCTAGTTGGGAATGCCTGAGTCAGCAAGCCAGCACCGTTTAGAGTAACAGAGTACACCTCTGAGGCATTGGGGACCTGCCTGGGTTGGGGAGGATTAGGGTGACTTCCTGGAAGCCTGACGATAAGCCAGGCTAAGTGGTAGAAGCAGAAAGAATGTTCTCAGGAGGGTAGGATGGGAAGCTTGTACAAAGGTCAAGGGGTCAAAATGCCATAAGGTAAGCTGGAGGGAGATCAGTGTGGCTCGAGGGCAGAAGGAGGAAGCGAGTGGGGGTCAGAGTAGGTTGTGTAAGAATCTGAAAGGAAGGCTGTGGTGGGCAGAGCTACAGCATGTGTAAAGGCCCAGAGGCACAAGCCTGACTGGGGAATCTGAAGAGCAGAGGGCAGAGGTGGCTGAGGTGGCTAAGTGAGGAGGGGAGAATCGGAGATGGGGAGACAGTGAGTCCGAGAGGTGGCTTTCACACTCAATGAAACCGGTGTCTACTGGATCCTGAAACATGGAGGAGGCCATTCTGACCAGCTTCCTGCTGCTATGCTACGGACGGAGCAGAGGCAGGCGAGGTCAAGAGAGGCATCAGAGGACCCGTCCGGAGCCTCCGGTCATGCAGATGAGAGCAGGGTGTTCTGGCCAGGTAGCCTCCACCATGTGAGGCACTTGGCTCTCTAGTGAGGAGACTGGATCTGGGTTTGGTGGAGGGGGAGGGATGGGACGGGCTAATCCCCAGTGCAGGGAGCCTCACCATCACCCCTGCCCACAGCGCCTCCAGGTCATGATTCAGCCCAGCGAAGATATCGTGCGCCCTGAGAATGGTCCTGAGCAGCCGCAGGCTGGCAGCTCAGCCAGCAAGGAGGCCTACATCTAGGGGTGCAGCCCCCTCATCACCCCAACACTGGCACCCTGGCCAGGCTGTACCCACACCCCTTGAAGACTGAAGATGCTCTTTGTCTCCACCTACCTCAAGGGGCGGGTCCAGACACCATCACCATGCAGAGAGGGGAGGTGGGGGACAGTCTGCCCCTGGGTGGACCCTACATGGGCAGCCACCCCTGGGGGCTTTCACAGAGGCCTGGTGACTTTTCCTTCAGGCCCCACAGCAGAAGCAGGTGGCTGGCCTTTGTAACTGCCACTGTAGCTCATTTTTATGCTGCCAGAGAGGGTGACAGCTGAGGCCACACACTCCTGGCTTTTAATCATATTCAGACTGTTGTCCTGTGCCCCAACCGTAGACTGTTATCCAGACTTTCCTATCCATTTGGCTCTTAACTGGTCATGGACCAGGGCTACAGCCTTTTGTTCGTAGCCCCTGGGAGCCAGTCTCTTTCCTTCCCAATCTCTCCTTCCCGAGGCAGCTGCACAGATCACCCCCAGACACCTCTGTGGCTGTTCACAGAGCAGTACGGAGAGGGTCTCTGTCCCTGTGACCCTGTGACCCGGGCAGCTCAGTGCCCCCTGCTCCACCTCCCCAGGTGACCCTAACAGCAGCAGCCTATCCAGAAGGGCCGTGTGTGCTAAGGAGAATTTTTAAAAAATTAAGAAGCCACAAGCACAACTGCCTGGTTTTTTTGTTTTGTTTTGCTTTTTGTTTTTTGTTTTTTGTTTTTTGTTTTTTTTGGTCACCATTCCAGGACTTTCCCCAAGTGGGAGCTCTGGTTCCTCTGAGCTGCCCAGTTTTGCACAAACAATGGCCAAGGAAACCAAGGTGATGGTTCTGTCGAAATCAGGACCAATCCAGCTGGCCCTGGTTTCCCTCTTAGATTGTCACTGCCACTCTGTTGTTCTGATGTCCCTTCTTACCTTTCTGAAAAATTCCTCAAATATATATGACCACTAATGGAGGAGGGTTTAGCCAGAGGCCCTGCCCACCCTACCCTGACACTGGGCCTCCCTTGCTAACCTGCTCCAGAGGGAAATGTCACATGTCCCTTCTGGCCTTGGGCTCTGTGTAGGTGAAGCCAGTGGAGACAATTTCTGGAAAGTTCCAGCAGCTCAGCTTCTCTCCTCTGCCGAGAGGACGGGCTCCCATGTAGCAAAGCGTATGTCTTGTCCCGTAGCTCCTTAGCTTGACAGCTCACAAACTGTGTTTATGACTAATCCTTAATAACTATGGTGAATAACTGTGACCGTGGGTTTTTTTGAATCTCTTGTCATTCTCATCCAAAAGTGACCAGCACACCAGTTCTTGCAATAAGCTATCTCCCTCAGAGCATTAAGCACACTGTAGAGAATGCAAACACGTATGCACATAGAAATGCACACACATGCATACCCATCCTCACATGTGGCACTTGGCATCCCGTGTGATAGTGTGTAGGCAATCTACCAGCTCTTCTCGAGGCCACCTGTAAAGGGGTCGTGTGGTTGAGGACTCTGCCTGCTCAGTGGAGACTCTGTGACCAGCTTGCACAGGTGCCTGTCACCAGAGTCCTGGATGTGGAATGCAAGGACCCTCCACTGTGTCTTGTGGCCCCATCGTCCCTCCCCCTGTGTATGAAGCCCTTTAGGATAAGGGCAGGAGATTTCCTTCTTGCTGCTCGTTGTTCTTAGATGTGAAACTCAGAACGAGTCTTTCTGAGATAAGTGCAGTATATTTCATGTTTGCAAGCACCTCTGAGATGTTTGGCAAGAAATCCCCCGATTTCCACCCAAACTTACCTTATAGAGCACAACATTAAGGGTCGTACAATTACTGTGAGAACTGTGAATATGTGTAACTTTTCTTTTTTAGTTTTTGCCCAGAGGGAAAAAGATAATTGTATTATCATATATGCTTTTTTTGCAATAAGGATTTATTCTCAGAACACCAAGTAAATTTATCTCTATATAAAAAGTATATGTAATATATGACTATTCAGACTATATACAGAGCCTGTTTTAAAAAAAATTACAGTATTATTTAGTAAAATTATCTGTTCTATGGACCAAATGTAAAATATTTATACATGAAGATGTGTTTTAAATGTCTATAAATGATATCACAACTAGAGCACGGGCGTTATGTAAGTTTCTAAGAATTTAGAGGAAAAATAATAAAGGTTCTATGATATTCACTGTGTTCGTTACTTTTCTGTTGCTGTGACGAAGTACCATGACCAAGACAGCTTGCAAAAGACAAGGGTTATTTGGGCTTACGGTTCCAGAGGAATAAGAGTCCAGCATGGCGGGTAAGCTGCAAGCATGGAGGCAGGAGCAGGAAGAGAAGGGCTAACATCTTGAATACAAGCACAAAGTAGAGAGAGCAAACTGTAAGTAGGTGAGGCTGTTTACTCCCAGCCCTTCCCACAGTGGTGTACCTCCTTCAGCAAGTTTGTACTACCCGAACTTCCTCAAGCAGGGCTACCAGCTGTGCACTAAGAGTTCAAATGCCTGAGACTCTGGGAGATAGTTCTCTTTTCTTTTTCTTTTTAAAATTTGTATATTTATTTATTTACTCATTTATTATGAGTGCTCTGTCTGCATGTTTAACCTGCACACCAGAAGAGAGCATCAGATCCAACTATGGATGGTTGTGAGCCACTGTATGGTTTCTGGGAATTGAACTCAGGACCTCTGGAAGAGCAGCCATCTCTCCAGCCCTGACTGTTCCCTTTTCAAACCGTCACACATACTGCAGCCCTTCCTTTCATAGGAAGGGGAACATACAATAGTCTATTTTCTTGAAACAACACAACAAGGACATAAACTAACTCTGTCTCAGACCAAGAGATATCTGGGCTCAGAGCCCACTGCAAAAGCTGCGTTTTCCTCAAGCAATGTGTAATGCTGGAGGAAATGACTTGGAGCTGTGTAGTGGAGGCACTCTCAATGTGTCGACCAAATAAAGATCTAAGCTGGAGGTGGCTAGAAGCACCTTTAATTAAAGGCGCACACCTTTAATCCCAGCACTCAGGGGCAGGCGGATCTCTGTGAGCTCAATGCATTGACTTAATGCTTTCTTCAGAATTTAAATTGTTAAATTGTATTTAGAAAAATGTGACCTTGGGCAGAGATGTTGCAAGCATGGCTAGACTAGATTCCTAGTCATGTTTCATCCAGGGTTTACTAATTGTAGGCATGCCGTCTTCTCTGGCACCCCACCCCCCCGACGCTACTTCCTCCTCCTTCCCTTCCTCTGTCAGTCAGATCAGTCTAGGATGAGAAACTGCTGTGAATACCATGGAATAAGAGGCTTATTAAGGGATGTAGTCCTTAGATAACTGTGAGAAGGGTTGGGAAATAAGAGCCTCAAAGAAGGACTTGAGTGACAAGTGACTATATTCCACAGTCCTTGCCACCTCTTGGGCATGCTGCTTCCAGCTGCCCCGCCAGGGCACTGCACTCCATGGGTGGGTCCAGAACAAGACTGAAAATCTGTACAGTGTAGACAAGTGCATCCACCACTGGGTCACCCTGGCCTCAGAAAGCCCTGAAGGGTCTCTGTCCACTGGAACCAAGAACTTGCTTTGAGTCTTAAAAGAAGACCCTCACAGAAACATGAATTGGGCTGGTGAGATGAAGAGTTCAATTTCCCAAACCCACATGATGGAAGGAGAGAACCAACTCCTCCAATGTGGCCTGACCCTTGCCCACCTCCACCCCGGCGTACCTATGGATCACCTCCCTTTGCCTAGGGAGCCCCTCTCCTCCTTCCCCCTGTTGTCCCTCCCTATCCTCTGCAGTCCTGCTACCTGTCTGGTTCCAGGCCACCCTGAAGTGAGGGGCTTTGATTTGCCCTCACATCAGGCAGGAAGAGATGGCACTGGCCTGAGGCCCACCACTGTGGAGCTGGGAGTCACTAGGCATTCAGGCCCACTCAGGAAGGCCTAGCCTCCTGTTGCTCACAGACACCAGAGTCGCCTGGCACCGTTGAGAGCCCAAGCTGTCATAGACCAGAGCAGGTGACAGACAGGAAGCTTGGGCTCTGGCCTTGTGCCCTCTAGAGCATGGGCAGAGACCAGCAGGCAGAGATGTTCTCGGAAGGCGGCCCCAGTTCATGCAATGTGGCGTGGACGAGGTGACTAATTGCTAAGTCATTTGAGAATGACTTGTCGATGTTTGGGCTCCCCTCTTAAAATCATCTCAGGGAACTTCTCAAGGCCATAATGTGATGGTCTAATGCCTAGCTCACATTCCCTGACTGTCTCTAAGGTGTACCTTACAATGACTTTGGGATCCAGTTTAGGGACACACATTGTGCTGATTTGTTTTGTCTCTCAGCAAATAATTGCGAGCACCTGTTACCTGCCAAGCCAAGGTGAGGCTGGAGTATGCCCAAGCCCAGAGAGCACTAACCTGTCTCCCCATCTCTATGAAATGCATCAGGACTTCTGAAATGCATTGATTCTACTCCTGGCTCTTTTCCAAAGTGACGGAGAGTCAAGCCTTATGGGTATTTCAGAAGAGAATGGAATTTCCCCTTTGAAAAGTGAACAAATGGTTAAATTAAGGAAACACCTACTTGGAGGAGGGCTTCCCACACCCCTCCTACATCCTGGGGCTTGTCTGCAGCTGGCTGTAGTAGTCTTTCTGACTTCACTCCAGGCACAGTGGGTCCAGCTTAGACTCCACTGGAAATCAGCTGCAGCCTTTAAACAGGACCATGGAAACTTCTCTTACCCGGATCTCCTTTGCCCTTCCTGGCCCTGACAGGGGTGATCTGTGTTGGCTCCCTGCCAGCTTCCCTCCTTTTCAGCTTCTCAGGGAGAACTTGGAAAGAGGTGGGAGGGCTCCAGGCTGGGAAGACTCTTCAAAGGCTTCTATTGGAGGTTCCAATTGTTTTCAGGAGAATGCAGTGTGCATTGATGTACCCCCGGGGGAGCCTGGCTGCTGCAGAGTGTGACTCACTGAGCCTGGGATTCCTCTGAATGACTGTGATGGCCCTTTACTTGAACATTAAATATGAAAATAGATAAAATTATGAGAAAAGCCACATGCCCCTCTTCTGAAAATGCTCACAGGGAGTTTGCAACCTGCTTAGGAAACTGACAAAAACCTTCCATTCAAACTGTCTAAAGCATAAGAGACTTGACATTCCAGAGACATTCCAGAGGCGCTGGCCTCAGGCATAGCTGGATCCAGGTGCTAAAACAGTGACATCAGAAATCGGTCAGAGTCTCAGTCTCTTCCTCTCTGCATCCTGCCCCAGATTACAGGATTATCAGATTATCTGTATGCTTAATGATGGAAGAGCAGGGTTACATGAAACCTGCAGGGTGTATCTTATCCCTAATTTATGTGTCTCAGCCCTGGGGCCCATTTGGGATACACATCTATCTTAGATATCACTTGCTAAGTGTTACCAAAAGGATAGAATGTTTAGAATGGTCATCTGGCTACCTCTTAAGCAATGGAATGGACCAGAAATACCCAAGCACAGGGACTGGGAATCAGAAGACAACCCAGTTTCTAGAGAAGCTAGAACATGGATGCTGGTGGCACAGGGGAAGACTGTGCAGAGCTCCCTCCATCTTGTATTCTTGCTGAGGGCATTTCAAGTTTAACTAGAATTGGATCTCCTTAATGGAAGATTCTGTGAAAACTTTACCGTACTCTCTCCTAGGAACCTGAGGTCAAGATAACCTAGCTAACTTATCTTAGATCCAGTTAAACTACGGCTTGGGCAAACCTCCCCGTCCAGCTAACCACTTATCCTAGCTTCTGTTAAACTGCTTCCTTGTGCAAAACCTCCTCCTGCAGCTGCAGAAAAAAAAAATAAAACAACAAACAACAACAAAATGTTACTCTAAATACTTGGAACTACATTTGAATACAGAATACCTGAGTGTATTCTCAGTCACCTAGAATAAAGACTTTCAATTGGCTATAAATTATGTCTGAGTGGTCATCTCTGTTGGAATCCCCGAAACACTGGGCAGGCAAACAACAAAGGCCCACAGACTAGGCCACCAGATTATCAAGTAACCTTAGGGTCCTTCCTCACATGGGTCTTCCCATAGTTGTGCCTACTTGCTCCCATTTTGAGTATGAATCTTTCATTTAGGGAACCAAAGGGAGATGGAAAGGTACTTAATTATTAGATGGACTGAAACCACTCAAGGCAGGTCTATTTGACTGCTCCAGGGTTGGAAGCTAAGAACACCACCTCAATATGGCCCAGACATTTCATCTTTGCTTCTTTGGACCTCAAACAACTGACTTCCTGGCTCACATACTCTCTCCAGGCTTGCCCACTGTCTTAGTCACTGTTCTATCACTGTGAAGAAACACTATGACCAAGGCAACTTTTAAAAGAAAGCATTTAGTTGGGGACTTGCTTACAGTTTTAGAGGGTGAGTCAGTGACCACCATGGCAGGGAACATGGTGGCAGGCAGGAGTGACCCTGGAGCAGTAGCTCAGAGCTCACATCTGATCTACAAGTTGCACTCTGAGAAAATGAGACTGGGCCCTGGTGTGGGTTTTGAAACCTCAAAGCCCACCCAGTAGCACACTTCCTTCAACAAGGGCATACCTATTCTAACAAGGCCACACCTCTTAATCCTAACAAAAAACGCTTCCATTCAAACAAACGAGTGTGTGGGGCCATTCAAATCATCATATCCACTGTACCAATATGCAATAGCACCAGGATAAGCTTAAAATGCAGACTGGCTCATGTGGCGCCCCTCCTCCAGCCTCCCTCGGCTTCTCAAGCCACAGCTAGAATACAATCCCATTTCTCTCCTCTGTCCCAGAGACTGGTCTGACTTCTGTCTTTCTAAATTCCATACACATCACTCTTACCTTTGTTCGTGTGACTTTGCCAAATAAACCATCTCTCTATCCCATTAGCCTTCTAAATCCTTACACCCGGGGTTCTCCATGCTTGGAGGATGCAGGGTAACCAAGGAGGCCTCAACTTAGCCAGAAATGTCAGGATGGTTTACAGAAATAACCACCTAATCTGGGAACTAATGGATGCCTTAGCCACAAAAGAACTATGGTTCCAAACAGAAGGATGGGAAGAGAGTTGGCAAGAAAGTCAGAGGAGCTTGGAACAAAGTCACACGGGC